ATTTTGGGTATAGCCCTTCAATTTTAAGCATCAAAGAAATACCTAAATTATTTCAAAAGGGAAATTTTGGATGATTTAGGCTTGTGCACCATTAAAATTGAATTTAATTAAGTTGGACTTATTTTAATTTCAATTTTGCCCTATATTCATTCTAAAATAAATTTAGAATTAATTTTACGTCACACGTAAATCGGGTTTAAAATCCCGAGAAATGGCACGCAAATCAAGGAAAAAACACCCAACCGTCACCAAGGCTAGCCGGGCTGCCTAGCAGCCCACATGTGGCTGCCTATGGTGCGCACAGGGGCTGTGCCGTGAAATGGCGCTGCTGTGTGGCGAGGGGCTTGTGTTGCGTACTGCTGTAGTGCTGGATGCGTGGCCTTAGGCTGCTGGAGAGCTTGTGCGTGCTGCTGGGCAGCGAGGCAGTAAGCCCCAGCCAGCCAGCCCACTGTTGCCAGCGCCAGCGAGCAGCTAGCATGCGTAGCGTGGTGCTGGTGCTAGCTAGCAAGGCATGCTGCGCTAGGCGAGCTTGCTAGCAACCAGCACCACACGCAACGCATGGGCTACCTAGCAGCCATGGTGCGCAGCCCTCGCATTTTGTTGGTGGGCTGTTTTGCTTGATTTTGGGCTATTGTCTTTTGCAAAATTTTGCCGTTTTAATTTTATTTAAAAATTTTAACGAGGTTAGACCTCGATTTTTTCGGCTCTTGCAAAATTTTAATTTTGACAAAATTTGGGTTTACTGGCTTTATTAATTAGATTAATTAAGTTGGATGCGGAATTTAGTGGGAGCTTATGAATTTTTTCGTGAACAAATTGCACCTTAATAAACATAATTTGTTAAACAACGTTGACTAATTTTAATTAGGCGTGTTAATCGGATTAACCACCTAAGTTAGTTACTAGTTTTTGCATGTTATGCAATTTTACTTGTTTTTGTTGTAAAATGCATTGGCCATTCACATATAGTGAATAGGTGAATGAAAGCTTGTTTCACAGGGTTTCTTGAAAATAGCAACTAGTGGGGCCCGATTAGGATAGAAAATACGAACTGCGTTCCATTACTTATTTTTGTAAATCTAAATACGGTCTGCGTACCGTTGAGTATTTTTGTACCTTAATATTTAGATTAATCCTAGTCGTAGTAGCTAGTAATTTTATTTTGGCGAAGATGTCTCAAGACGGCGTTTCGATAAAGACGAGCCAAGATGAAGACCCTTGAAGATTTGAAGATTTCAAGGGGTCATGCTAGCTGCCAAATGCATCTAATTTTATGCTTTATATATATTATTGTGCTTATATATATATTTGAATGTTAGATGCATGTCTAGGATTTCAAATGTTACGATGATTAGTTAAGTTCACTTAAATCAACCAACATAGAAACCCTAGGTCCCTTAAAATATTGAGCTAAAATTTGTTGTTCCAAGAACAACACTTACCAAACTAATGCGCGTACGTGATGGGCTACGCCAAAGCGAGGCATCACTACATCCCTAGGAACGTAAGGTATACTAGGTATACGAGTTGATCTTGGTTAAGCTCAACGATATCAGTAAGGAGTTCTTAGATGTCGTGGCAAAAGAGATAAAATGTCAAGAATGCATTAGATGCGACGTTTTATCAAACCGAGAGTAGCTTAGAGCTATTAGAAATTAGATTGCTTACCCTAAAATATCTAGTGTTAAGACAAGCCAAAGCATGCTTAATCACTTTTTGATTTTTGGGATCTCAGAATCATTTTATTCTCGCCAAAAGGGACAAATTATTAATGCGTGGATAAAATGCTCAATAAGATTAAAAATTTGCATGAACGCTTTTAAATTTCAAACTTATTGGTTTATGAATGGTTTTTCATTTCAAATTCTTTCAATTGTTGAACCATGTCTGCAAGTAACTCAAACAACAATTCTATGTGCGCGGAACTCCCCGACAAGTTGGCATTTTGCCTTAACTTGGTCAACTTCAAGGAGTGGGAGGAGGAACTCAGGAAAACTCTTCGGAATTGTTCCTTGGAGTACACTCTTGACACTCCCATTCCAAGCTTCTTCTCTAAAGGGATCATGACCGATGAGGCTCATGAACAATGGTCTTCCAATTGCAAGAAAGTCTCACGACTTATGGCTAATTCCATCCCGGAAGATTGGAAGGAAAGCCTTTCCTCCTACCTTCCGGACATGTTCCTTAAAGCCCTTGAGGACGTTGTCAATGTGAGAGTCACCAAGAGTGACAATGACAACTATGATGGACTCGTGTTTGATTTGACTAGGTCACTCTCAAACATGAAGATAAAGCCACCGAATGTGGGTTGTCTTGCTAAGAGGCGCCGGCTTTGGAAAAAGGACTACAATGCCAAATTGAGACCCGGCATGCCCCTCCGACCTCATGTGCTTGGAATGACTAGGCTCTTCAAACACATGCAGCTTCTCGGAATCTCATTGGAGGATGAGATGGCGGGGTATATCTTGCTTGCTTCGCTCCACTCGGGCTATGATGCGCTTAGAGTGTATATAGCTGCGGGAAAGGAGACACGCTCTTTGATGGAGGTGGTGCCACTACTTAGCCGAGCCACCGCCTATGGAGTGACCGAGAGGCCCTTAAGAGCAAGGAGAAGGGAGTTCAAGAAGGTCAAGGCAAAGATGTGATGCTTCTATTGTTGTGGGCAAGGCCACTACAAGAGAGAATGCAAGCTCTTCCGGGAGGAGGAGGAGAGGAATGTAGCATCTGCCTTAGGTATCTTCATTGACACTTGTGTTTAAAGCTATTCATAGGTATTGGATACCAAATATGACTCACTTTGCGTTGCCTTTTTTCAGGGACTAAGTGAGAGGGCTTCACAAGTGGATGTGCAACTACGAGCGGACGACGAAGATGGTCTTTTGGTCATGCTTGTAGGCACATTAATTTTGTCTATGACATGTAATTCAACTGATTTTAGTTTTATCATGCTTTTGAACATCCTATGATCTATGGTGTTGGACACCGAGTTGCTTTGATCGTAAGACTTTGACAATAGTTGTCTCAAAATGTCTTGTTTATATATGTTCAATGGAAATTGCATGTTTTTACATATGATTAGACAAATGTTGATACCGCTGACAAAACTAAGACAATTCATAGTAGACATAGTTATGTCTACCTTATGTCGAATAAATCTGAATCCTTTGAGAAATTCAAAGAATTTCAGAGTAAAGTTGAAAATCAACTTGGCAAGAAGATAAAAGCACTTCGATCGGATCGAGGTGGCGAATATTTGAGCCATGAATTCGACGATCACTTGAAAGAACATGGTATTCTTTCAGAGTTGACACCTCCTAGAACTCCTCAATGGAATGGAGTATCCGAAAGGAGAAATCGAACCTTGTTAGACATGGTTCGATCAATGATGGGTCTTAGTGAACTTCCTATATCTTTCTAAGGACACGCATTACTAACTGCGGCACTAACAGTGAACCGTGCTCCGTCAAAAGCAATCGAAAAGACTCCATATGAATTATGGATAAAGAAACCTCCAAGTTTGTCTTTTCTTAAGATTTGGGGTTGCGAAGCATATGTCAAGAGATTAATTTATGACAAACTTCGCCCAAAATCGGACAAGTGTTTCTTTGTGGGCTACCCAAAAGAAACCAAGGGGTATTACTTCTACAATAAATCCGAGAATAAAGTGTTTGTTGCTCGTGATGGTGTCTTTTTGGAGAAGGAACACCTTTCCAAAATGACAAGTTGGAGGAAAATCTAACTCGACGAAGTTCGAGAGGATGAGCAACAATGTCAACCTGATAAAACTGACAATCAAAATGCTTTAGAAGCAGTTGATAAGATTGGTCAGAATCAAACAGACAATGTAAATGCTCAACCTATTACCCTTCGTAGGTCGCAACGACCAAGATCTCAACTAGACAGATACCTTGGTATTGTCTTAACCGAAGATCAGGACATCCTAGTCATGGATGGAGATGAGCCAGCGACATATAAACAAGCTATGACGAGCCCCGACTCTACTAAATGGAAAGAAGCCATGAAATCTGAGATGGACTCCATGTCTGAAAATCAAGTCTGGGACTTGGTAAATTTGCCCGAAGGTTACACACCCATTGGTTGAAAATGGATTTTCAAATTGAAAACAGACAAAGATGGAAATGTATCGGTATACAAAGCTAGACTGGTGGCAAAAGGTTACAGGTAAATCCACGGGATTGATTATGATGAAACCTTTTCGCCAGTCGCAATGCTTTAGTCCATCCGGATCATCCTAGCGATTGCTGCATATTACGATTACGAAATATGGCAAATGGACGTCAAAACCGCCTTCCTTAATGGGATTTTGGAAGAAACTGTGTATATGACACAGCCGGAAGGTTTTGTTGATCCAAGCAATGCTGGAAAGGTATGCAAGCTTAAGAAGTCCATATATGGACTGAAGCAGGCAAGCAAAAGTTGGAACTTGCGATTTGATGAAGCCATTAGTAAGTTTCCTTTAATCAAGAATCCAGATGAGTCTTGTGTTTACAAGAAGGTCAGTGGGAGTGACATCACATTCCTAGTCCTATATGTCGATGACATATTGCTCATTGGAAACAACACAAAATTATTAGAGTCTCTAAAGGGCTGGTTGGGAAAGTGCTTTTTAATGAAGGACTTAGGAGAGGCATAGTACATATTGGGCATCAAGATCTATAGGGATAGATCTAAGAGAATGATTGGATTGAGCTAAAGTACTTACATTGATAAAGTACTGGCACGATTCAGCATGGAGAATGCCAAGAGAGGGCACCTACCCATGTCCCATGGTGTAACTCTCAGCAAGAAACAGTGTCCACAGACATCTGTTGAGCGAGAGAGATTAAATCAGATTCCATATCACTATTAGAAAAAATGAAATAGGCAACCCCCCTTTAGCACCGGCTCTTGAAAACCGGTGCCAAAAGAAATGGACGGGATTGAAAAATTCAGTGTTGGCACCGGTTCCAACTAAAACCGGTGCCAAATCCTGTAATTAGCACCGGTTCAAACCGATGCCAACTTAAAAAAAATATATATAGTATGGAAGAGAGTTGGCACCGGTTCGCCTTAAACCGGTACCAACTATGGTAATTAGCACCGGTTCAAACCGGTGCCATTTTTGAAAAAAAAAACCCCGGTTTCGTTATGTAGTATACTCTTTCTTTCTCTTGCTTTCATTTCCTCAATCTTTCCTCCTCTCTCATCTGATCTGCCTCTCTCTCCCCTCCATTGAAGCTTTCTCTCACTTTCCTCAAACTCCTTCTCTCTCCTTCGATCTCTATAACCGCCACTTTCCTTTTCCTTTCATCTCGATCTCTTTCGATCTCCTTCTCCTTCTCTCTTTGAGGTTAGGGTTTCTGGGTGCGTCTATTTTGAATCAATTCGATGTGCGTGCGTCTTCAACAACAACAAATTCGAATCAATTTCGAACCAAAAATAAGAAATTCGAGGTTAGGGTTTCTGGGTTATTTAGCTTTTTGAATATTTTTCGATTTTTATTAATTGCTTTTTTTTTAAGGTTTTTTTGGGTTGAATTTCTATGTTTTCTGAATATTTTTTGACTTAAATTGATTGTTTTATTTTTTTGTTTTTTTTTGGGTAGAATTTGTAGGTTTTCTGAATATTTTTTGATTTTTATTGATTGTTATTTTTTTTGTTTTTTTCGGTTGAATTCCTAGGTTTTATGAGGATTATATGAACATTATTATTATATATATATATATATATATATATTTATATGTGTGTGCGTGTGTATATATATGTATATATATTATATAAATATACATATATATATGTATATATATATATATGTATATACATACATATATATATGTATATATATACATATATATATGTATATATAAAATATATATACATATATATATATACATATATATATATATACATATATATATATATATACATATATATATATATACATATATATATATATACATATATATATATATATATATATATATATATATATGTATATATATATATATATATATATATATATATATATATATATATATATATATATATAGTTTTGTTAATGGAGCATAGACCAATTTGAGTAATGAGATGTGTGTGTTTTGAAATGAGGGTAGGACTGATTATAGGGCCAGAAATCTCATGATTAATCAGGACAAAAACTAAATTTTCAATTACTATTACAAATTTTCAATTATATGTAAGTAGTATGGGTTGAAAGGAGTGTTTGCACAGAGAAAATACAGTATAATTGTTTGTCAGTCAAAGCTTGATTGCCAAATTTTTTTTACTAATACCAATAACTTAAGCCTAATTGATGATAGAAATCCTTGGTTGAATTTCCTTGAAGACATAAATTTTGCTTCTTTCACATTATTATGACTTTGTTATGTACTTTGGCTTAAATTATTAAGCTACATTTCATTGAAATTATACAGCAAGGAAAGAAAGAATGTATCTTTTCTAGCTTATAGTTTTATCTACTTATCTTGGATCTGATGATGTTGAAGTAAGTCTCTTATATTTTCATTTGTTCTTATTGTGTATTCTTTTTTTCTAAATAGGTGTCACTCATGCCTTGGTAACAAGGGGGTGCTGGTTTTATTGGATCACATGCAGCACTAACACTTTTAAGACTTGTATCATGAGACAATTGTGGTATCCTCTCCCTTCAATCATCCTTACTGTCCACTAATCTTTCTCGTGGTAACCTATTGCGAAATTCTTTGCATGTCAAATTCTTAGTTGTATTCTTTGATTGAACTAGTATTAGTATTATGAATTGACTGATTGATTGATTTATGTTTTGGAGGAATGTAGTGTTTTGGACGGATGGCTATGATGTTGATGAACAGATAAAATTATAATTTTTCAAAATAGTTATGTATTTTAGATTGGCTTAAAAGAGATAGTACATTGAAGATTGATTTTGACAAGTATAGTGCAGGAAAATGTGTGGCCTATTGAATCTGTGGTACTAACCTTTGTTGTGAGTGTATAATGTATATGGTGCATGATTTGTTGTTTAAGTGCTCCACTTTCATAAACCAACATATATATGTAGATAAGTGGACGCATTAAGATAAATGTTTGGGGTTTTCTTTATTTAATTTCTAAGTTTACTGGAGAACAATTTTGGGTATCATGGTGCTTAATGAATTGTTGCTTTGTTTAGTGCAGATGCATCTAAAACTAGTACTGAAAAAGAAGCAATGCAGAACACAGTTCGTAAAGCAAGTCGAGCTCTCACAGAGCAAGAAGCAAGACAGATTGTGTGTTGGTGACTAATGAGACCCTGCTGTTGTGTGGTAAGCTAGGAAACGTGTTAAGAATGATGAGAATTTGTGTTGATTTTCTATGATTTGTTCTCAATGACCTATTTGTGAGAACATTTGGGTGAAATAAAAAATTTGATTTCAATCCTTCTGGCTCTGTGTGATTTGAGTCCCCTTGTTGTGAAAATGAGTCCCTTTTTTTAGGGTTTTCATGTGTGGTTTTGATTTCCATGTGATGAAGGGATTCATTTGATCCATTGTTGTTAAGTGTGTTTAGCTCCAACATATTCTTGTCAAAGATGTGTTGTTGAGGAAATCACTTGAACATTGTGTGTTGCTTGTTGATAAATGGTTGCCAGCAACTGTGATCTGTTGCTGGCCAGGGGATGTATGATTGTGATATGTTGTTGTTGCTATTGATGTTGGTGTGTGGCCTGAGTTCCTTGATTATGTCCCTTAATTAATGTTTCTTGGAATATACTCCTTGACTATGTCCCTTTTTAATTGACCCTTATATAACAAACCAATGCGTTGAGTCCCTTGGCCGTAAATAGTTACACAAGGATAATCCATATGATGAAGGGACTTACTTTCATCGTACAGCTTCTCACTGTGATTTTCTCCGGTTTGTCCATTGAGGTAACACAGTTTGAGAAGTTTTTGGATGAGAATAAAACCCCTGATGGATTCATGAATTATTTGCTTTATTTTGATGAAATTTGCGGTTTTTGTTGTTGTGTTTGAATAGTCATTGAATGCCAAGCTAAGAGTGTACTGTTGGTCCAATTATACATATTAAATGCTTTGAAATTTTGGGTTTAATTGATGTAATATTGTTCCAAATGCCGTCGCGCGATGTTGGTTGCTCGTAGCAGAATTCGTGGTGTCAAGATCTCTGAGGTTATTGAGATCTCTGATGATGAGTCCCCTGTTGCACCTGATGGGGGGGGGGGGGGTTTAATCCTCCACAACTCCAGAAGATGAGTTAGGAGTTGTTCTTTCGCGGTGTCAAGATCTCTGAGGTTATTTATGCAGAGTTATTGTGAATTTTGAATTATTGTGAATTTTGAATTTTGCTTGTTCATGGACAAATTTTGAGTTATTTATGCAGAGTTAAGATGAGTTATTGTGAATTTTGCTTGTTCATGGACAAATTTTTGCAAGCTATAAACCTGTTTACCTCAGGTATTTTGTTAGTTAGATAGAATTGAGAATATAGAATTGTTGTCCTAGGAGTCTGCTAGTCTACTTAAGTATATTAGGCAAGTCTTATCTTGTTGCAAGTTCCTGAGCTTAGATTTATCACACATAAATTTGATGCATCAATAAATTAAGTCTTTTCAAATGATGTTTATGCTAGCATGATTTAGTCAGGGAGTTCTGAGTGCACTAACTATTGAGAAAAATCTCTAAGTTAGGCTTCTTGGTTAATATTATTCCTGGAAAATATTAGATTGAAGAGTACATTGCTTGTTTATTAGCCAAGTTCGAGTTATATGCTGCCATTTGCACCACTGTTGTCAAGTCTGAATTTCTGAAGTGTAGTTAGTGCACGTTCTGGCAGCATAATATTAATACTTAGCTAGCTCTAGTCCAAAAATCAGGAGAGCCATTTTGCTAAATATGTTAGATACCAATTTGAACAGATTCTATCTTTACATGTTGTGTAATTTGAGTAGAAAAGTTTTTAACTGCATACTTAGGATTACCAATTCATTGCCTCATGTTTAATTGCTATTGAAGTGAGAATAAGCAATGCCAAAGATATGTGAATTCTAAAGTCTGATTCTGCTTAAAGTAGTTTCTGAATGTCTGACATGATAAGTAACTTGCTGATTTCTTTGGCATTATTTTATCAGTCCAACATCGTGGTCGTATGCTATGAAATTTCCAGGGATTTCTGGAAGTAAGGTTATCTGAGTAATATAATCTGGTTGGAATTATTTTTGAGTAAAATATGAGCAGGATTGATTTTGGGAATTTTCATAAGAACTAATTTAATGGAATTGCATAATATATATCTTGATATACCCAACTGCTTGATGCTTAATTGTTACTGAAATTCAGTATACTCACTGCCATAAGTCCATAACTACTGAGTTTAACTGTCGTCTCTGAATAATTATTCTTTGAATCCAACAGCTAATAATTAGACAAAACTTATAGGGTAATGAGATATATGGTATATGTTTGCATTATAAGTTAATTCCAGCCCTGGCACTAGCTCATTTTGAACATGAAATCAATTTTTGCTATAAAGATCCAAGTTAAAAGAGTGTAGACAGACTACTAACTTTCTGCCAGATTGCTAGTATCCTTATATGAGGTGTAAATGCTAATGAATATGCAGTTTATTTATTGGTAGAAGATAGTTGCATCCAAATCATCTTGTCTTGGCTACTAATATTTCTGTCCAATAATGGATTTTTAAAGCCTCTGCTGTAATATTTCAAGTCCTTCTCATAAATTCTGTTTTTCTTAAAGGTGTATGTACACGTACGATAAAGAAGCTAGACTTCAGCGCATTAAAGCATACGTAGGCTTCTTAAACGAGACTAGCAACCCAATCAAAAACAGACCAGCAGCCCACCAAAACAGCAGCACCATCCTACACCACTACTGCTCAGAACCCAAACAGCAGCCCAACCAGTACAGAGCAGACACCAGCAATCCCTGTAGGAAAACAGGCAGACAGACAGCACCAGCTGAGCATAAAGTCAAAGGAGACAGACTCTAAATCCATGAGCAGCAGCTTCCAGCAAGTCCTGACAGCAGCCTGCACAGAAAACAGACACATCTGCATCACCACCAAGAACCAGCCTAGCAACACAGCAGCTCAACATCACAGCTCCCCAGAATACCAGCAACATGGCTGCAAAAGGAAAACAGACAACAGCACGGTAGTATCAACACAACAAACTTCTCAACAAACTAGAACAAGATCCAAGTGTACTAGTCATCATTCAACTGAAATCTCAAGTGTTTTTTTTTTTTTTTTTTTTTTTTTTTTTTTTTTTTTTTTTTAGTTTTTAAAAGTGTAATATTACAAGTTATTGAATAAAATATATGTATTTTATGTATATTGTGATTATATATAAGTAGTTGGTATAATTTAAGTGAAAAAAATGCAAAAAAAAAAAAAAATTATTTTATTTTTTTGGGGTATTTTTGGCACCGGTTTGGACCAGAACCGATGCCTAAAGTGGGGTTTTATGCACCGGTTCTTGCTTTGAAACGGTGCCAATAGTATTGAAAAAAAAAAAATCGCACCATGGTAGTTGGCACCGGTTAACCGGTGCCAAATCATGAAATTAGCACCGGTTAACCGGTGCTAAATGCTTTAGTTGGCATCAGTTTTGAACTGGTGCCAAATTTTCATGGATTTGGCATCCCTCAAATAATCAACGGTTCAAAACCGGTGCCAAAGGAGGGGTTTGATCCGGTGCCTTTTTATCTTTTTCGTCTAGTGTATGCTTCGCTAATTGGATCGATCATGTATGCCATGATATGTACTAGGCCTGATGTATCGTATGCTTTAAGTGCTACGAGCTGATACCAATCAGACCCAGGAGAGGGGCATTGGACTGCGGCCAAGAATATCCTAAAGTACCTGAAAAGGATTAAGGATAAATTCCTGGTCTATGGTGGCCACAAAGATTTGGTTGTTGAAGGTTACACCGACGCTAGCTTCCAGAATGACAGAGACGACTTCAAGTCACAGTCAGGGTATATATTTTGCCTAAATGGAGGAGCGTTTAGTTGGAAGAGTGCCAAGTAGAGCACCACTACAGATTCTACAACTTAAGCCGAATACTTGGCAGCTTCGGAAGAAGCTAAGGAGGCAGTTTGGATTCGTAAGTTCGTTAGTGAACTTGGTGTTTTACCCTCCATCAAGGGTCCAATAGATCACTATTATGACAACAATGGAGCTATTGTTCAGGCTAGAGAGCCAAGAGAGCACCAGAAGGTCAAACATGTCCAAAGGCGATTTCACATGATAAGGGAATGGAAATCCAAAGGTGAAATCAGAATTTATAAGATCGGTACGGATGACAATGTGGTCGATCCTTTAACTAAACCTCTACCTCAAGTGAAGCACAACAAGCACGTCGAGGCAATGGGAATCAAGCACGTTGGAGATTGGCTTTGAATTCCCTGTACATGTGTTTTAACTAAACTAGATGTCTTAATGTAAAACACTATGCAGAAAACATTCATATATGGAGTAATTAATTTTTCATGCAAAATTACTATTCACTCAATTGCTATTTAATTGTGGTTTAGAATTAAATAATGAGTCCATTCGATTTTTGAGAATATTCAAAACAGGGTATCAAGACCATGTCTTGGATAAAGAAACACCTGTTAAGTGAACATTGAATATTTAAATCGAAAATTATCCCTAATCGAGGTCATTTAACTGATGGACGATTAATGACCACTGGAGATTAGTGTGTAGTATGATTTACAGCACCGTTTCTTGTGCTGCAAGGACATAGTAGTCATAAATCATTTGCACAAGTGCTAGTTTGGAACTAACACCTGATCAACCTATGAGAGTACTTTAAGAGATATAAAAACGTCATAAGTACATTTCTCATTATAGCTATCAGAACCTGTTTCCTCAACCATGAGTATTGGGAAGTTCTCTTGTTTGAGTACTAGTCTCTTTATGTTGTCAAATGTCCGCCGTAACAGGGGATTATAACGGGAACACTCGGGAGATTAGGTCCTCTTAGTAAGAGAGGCTTGCAGTACAAGACAGGGAATGTCCCCCTTATAACAATAGGGAATATGTCTTTGTTGTTTACAAGGCCGCTCGAAGAGTGAGACTGTGAAAATGCATGGCCATGCTCAGATGGATTTTAGAAATAATCTACTTATTGACAGTCGAACTCGGAGATCGAGAAACACTTCTGGACGTAATAAGGATGACGAAGATTCTTACCTTATAGTTCATGAAGAGACATTAAGCGACATAGGAAATGGGCTATACACTGTATGCACACTTGTCCGAAAGGACAACTGGGAGATTGAAAGGAATGGTGTCCTTCCAACTAGTGTATTTTCTGATAGAGGGTTCAGAATTGTCAGGAAGATAATTCTTCAGTGAGATCAAGTGATCGGAATGCCTGGGTGGAGGCCGCTTCTGATCTGTAATATTAGTGAACAATTAATATTACAGCTTTGTCTTGACTGAACCCTTCAGGTCAAACCCAAACGAACTACCGATCCGAACCGACGAATCAATCCGAAGGATTTGATGAGTCACTAGAGTATTACGAACACAGACGTCGGATATCGAGCCTAGGGCGTCGAGACCGAGCGTCGCAAAATCAACAAGCAACAAGTTCGAGCGTAGCCCTAGCATCGCATTGGCCTAGCCATGTGGACGCTAGGCTAGCTCGAGCTAGCATGCACTGTGCGTGGCTAGGCGCAAGCCTAGACGCACCATGTGTGCTAGCCGCGCCATCGCTAGCACTAGGTGCTTGCGTATGTGCATGCCTCGCATGACAGTACCAAGCAGCAGTAACGTGCTTGTGTGTGTGCGTGCCTTTGCATGGCACAGCACCACCGCAGCATGCGTGCTTGCATTCCTAGGTGCTATCGCAAGCCCTCACACAGCTTACGCATAGCACAACACCATCGCATTGCTAGGCGCTGTGCGTGTGTGCGTGTGAGTGCATACCTTCGCATGGCTGTGTGCTGCGTGCATGCCTTGGCATGGAAGCACCAAGCACAGCAAGCTAGGAGCATCGCCTAGGCAGCAAGCAGCAAGTAGCGAAGGGGGCCTTGCCTAGTGCCTAGCACCCAACAGCATGAGTGGCTCGCTAGCAGCACGCATGTGCTGGCTGTGCTAGCTGGTGCGTGCTGTGCGTGCTGGCTGTGCTGGCTAGTGCATGTTGTGCGTGCTAGCTATGCTAGCTGGTGCGTGCTAGTGTGCTAGCTGGCTGCCAGCCCAGCCATTGCTTGAGGCCGGTTTGAGGAGAGTGGGGACCAATGCTTGGAGCAAAGCCTTGGGGAGCAAGGCAATGGTCCCCCCCTATGGTTATGGTCCTCACCCACTAAGCTACTACATTTTTGATCTATTGCAATGGCCTAATAAAGGCTAATATAACAGTATTTTTATTGCCGTTGCAATAGAGTAGGCTATTGCCACGGAGTTATAACTAATTCTCTTAGAGGTAGAGCTATTGCCACGGCTCTAGAGAACCGTTGCAATAGCCTAGCTATTTTAACAAAAATGAAAGCTAATGTAACGGTAGTGTTGTATCATGAAAATTTTACCCAAGCGCGCAATGTTCCCTCTAATTTTTTCACCAAAAATTTGAACACATGTTTACTTTTCTCACCCATTTTCTCCACTCATTCTCAGAGTACCCATTCTCACCCAATTTCTCCATTTTCTCAATTTCCCCCAATTCTCCATTTTCTTAATTTCTCCCAATTCTCTATTTTCCCCATCATCTCACATTCACATATTTGCTTCAACTCCTGAATCACTTCGAAATTCTAAGGTGAAAATCATTCAAAAATTCGAAGAGGAAAATAAGCAAATAATTATGAGGAAGTAGTAGACAAAGGCGGCAGTCAGGATCGGAGGTGGTGGCTGACAACGGCAGTCAGGCGGTGGTGGCTGATAGCGGCATAGACTGTCTCAATTTCATTGTTGCATGTCCCTTCCTTGAGTTGATTGGTCGAAATTCTGTTCAAGGTAAACAACGAATTTTCGTTTTTGAGAATTAAATTTGAAGTTTTTGCTTTTGTGTTTGGGATGAAGTTAAATTTTGATTTGGGGTGGTTGATTTGGTTCATTCATGGGGTAAGACTTTAGAGATCCAAGTTTATTACTTTTTTCTAATTGCTATATCCATTGTTCAAGCTTATGTGCGTGCTTAGGTTTATTTAACTTTTTAGATAAGAATATATGATAGTGGGTTTTGGAGGGTTTAAGGAAAAGAAAAAGATAAGATTAGGAAGTGAAATAATGGAGCTTGGGTAACATTATCAGAGTAATTAAAGTCTCAGAAAGGTTGTTCAATATTATAACAAAGAGATATTGGCCTAAGAAGTCCACTTACTTCTGTTACATTTTCCTACTCATCTATCATCATCATATTAGAGTAGTGGGATGGTCTTTAGATGCTAATAGTTTAACTAACAGAACTGAGTGGCTCTCGCTCTTATTAGCAGTATCAAGTGGTGGATTGGTTAATTTCAAATTTTTTGTAATATGTATATAAGTATTCACTATGTTTCTAAACTAGAGAGAGAAGAGTTCTGTAAAATTTGTGTGTTTTATGAGGATGTAGTAATAGAAGTGTGTAAAATAAGCTTTAAGAGGCTTATACATACAATATCACATTTGGTTGTATTATATGTTCAATTGTAACTTGGAAGCATTTAAGAAATCTTGGCCCCCTCTGGTTTGGTTGCTTGCGTGCTTATAGGCAATTTTACTTGAACTAGGGTACATGTGTCCATTGCGAGTTTATGTCCCAAGTGTTAAGACTCAAATTTCTGATGATTAATTTCTGACTAACATTGCTTATATGTGCTATTGTGCTTATCTTGTTGAATTCCTGTTGCATTGCAGACTAGGATATTCATGATTTTGGTCCAAAATGACGTGGTAAGTGTATCTGTACTAGTCTTATGGTGTGAATGAAGAGTCTGAGCAACTTAGCTTGGCTTATAAGTGTTCTTCTGGAGGGTGTTTCTTCTGTAATTCGCTGGCAAAGTTGACCTTATCCCAGATGATTCTGGATAGGGACAGTCTAGCCAGTATTCCACTAGCAAAGTTGTAGATGAAACTCTCTGTAAGGACCAATGATAAAAAAAGATTCATAGAGTTGATGGGATTTTCTCTTTTGAACTGGTTACGCAAGGAGATCTGATGCTTCACTCCCATGTCTAGTAATTAGTCCAAGATTCCTAGAGATATGATTGGCTAAAAAAACTGAGAACAACCATCTTCTCCTTTATTCATGCTGTGGTGGACAATGTAGTAAAAGTATGTTCTATTCTTCAACTGTATTTTTTACCTCTCAAGGTTATTGTTCTATAACTAAATGATTTTCGAAATTCTATTTCAATTTGTTATATATTATATTATTCGGGTATGTGATCATGTCAAGTGATAACTTTTTTTAAGATCGTGTTTGAAAATTACAAGTGTATTAGCTTCAAATAGCCTTTATTTTTTTAAAAGCCTTTATTTTTTTTAAAAGCCTTTATATTTTTTTTTTTAAAAAATTGTAATTCTATTTCAATAGCTAGTTATGCTAAAAACCTACAATAATCAAGAATTGTTAGCATTAACAACCACTGTTACGACATATGCTACAAAAGCTAGTTTTGCCGAACATGTAAATCAATCAACAACTTGTTCGCACCTCTTTATATTATCTTCTACTTTATTAGTATCAATTTAGAAGTTGTACTTTAATTTTTGCTAGTTGGATTCTTTCCTTGTTCCTTTCTATTTCTGGAATTTGTTCTATGCCCACTTTCAGTGGTGTAAACAGAAGCTGTGACACTTTTCCTTCCATCATCTCCATTACCACAATTCTCATATAAACTTGTAATGCATTGAATTCCTTATTATTATTAGAGTCTTGGATTATTATTTTGCAGTTTTTTTTGTGTTAGAAAACTCGAAATGGCATCTAGAAGAATTGTAAAGGAGCTCAAGGGACTGGAAAGAGATCCACCTAGTTCTTGCAGTGCAGGTAATCCAAAATATGAGATGTGCAATTCTAATTTGTCTAACTAGTCCTTATTCATTAATCTTTTTCGTCGCTTCTAATCTCACTAGTTGGTGACAAATATAGGTCCAATTGCACAAGATATGTTCCATTGGCAAGCAACAATTTATGGTCCAAACGAGAGTCCTTATGCAGGAGGTGTTTTCCTTGTGAACATCCATTTTCCACCTAATTATCCCTTTAAGCCTCCTAAGGTATATCATTATTTCATTTCATATTTCTCGAATTTAAGTAGAGTATTAAATTTCATTTCTGATGTACAATATTAGTTATTGTAAAAACGAGCTTAAAATCATAAAATTTATCTATAGGTGGCCTTTAAAACGAAGGTATTCCATCCAAATATTAATAGCAATGGGAGTATTTGCCTTGATATACTAAAGGAGTAATGGAGCCCTGCACTCACCATATCCAAGGTCATCATCCCTATTTTTTTCTGACAAATTACATATGCATGAAATATAACTTATACCCTGAACCTACTGTTGAAATGTTGCTGTTGTTGATGTCTTTTTCTGATGCCCACTATTGCTTTATTACTTTTGTTTTTTTTTTCTTTATATGGTTGATGCTTTAGTTGTTTGTTGATGCTTTTTATTGTTGTATGTTTTTGTTGCTGAGTTCATGCTTTTTATAGCCTGCTACATCTCTAAATTATCAATCAGTAAGGACATGATTCTTGAGTTAGATTCTTGAGTTACTACTCATACTTTCTGTGTTCTTCATACTACTTGAAATCGTACTACTTCGAATAGTTGCGCTCATCATCTCTAGAGAGTCTTTAGCTGAACTAGAACATCTGTGTTCATCATATTCAAACACTCTTTGAGTTCTGTCTCTATTTGAGTCATTGTTGGCCTATCTACAATTTCTAGCTGAATACATCTCACTGATAATTCTACTGCTTTCCACACAGTGAGATAGTTGTCATCTACACGCGTCTGGTGTCTCAGGTTCTCGTCTAGCATGCTGGCTATATCCCCTCTTTCAAGCACGCTCCTAACCCATTGACCCAAGTTCATGACTCTGTTTACTATTGTTGTTTTCCCTGTGATTAGCTCCAACAAAACAACCCCAAAGCTGTAAACATCGCCTTTTTGATGCACCTGTCCTGTTAAATTATACCTGTAATAATCATTGTGGCATAAAAGTTTTACTTTGGTAAAAGAGTGTTAGAATATGTGAGATAGTCTGTATGAATGACTGAAATGGCTCACTTACTGAGGATCAAGATAGCCTAGTGTTCCAACAACCCTTGTTTGTAAATTTGAAACGTATTCAGCTGGGAAGATTTTGGATTGCTAGAAATTCTTTGTTTAGAAGAATGTTAGCGGGTTTCACATCTCTATGAACTATAGGCGGGCTGCAACCATGATGCAAGTAATCCAGTCCTATATATAGAGTTACACAACAGATTTTAATATACTGAGTGATCTGATAAAAAAAAATCTAATTTAGAAGCAGACACGAATGTTATGTTGTATATTATATCTCACCCTGAGCTGTGTCGATTGCTATCTCAACTCTCTTTCTCCAGCTTATAGAGTCAGAATATTCTTTTCATAAACCACCCAAAAATCAAATTGATTGTTGTTGAAAGGAAAAAAAAAAACATTTAATTCAATTAATAAGTGCAACAGCTAGGAAAAAATAAAGGACTATAGAAGTTTTAGGATGCAAGGTCCTACCTGAGAGAAGAGCTTTCAAGTCTCTCATGGCCATGAACTCGTAAATAAGTGCCAAGTTGGTTCCTTCTTCACAGTATCCAACGAGAGAAACCAAGTTCTTGTGAGAAATTTGACCAAGCACTTCAATCTGTGCCAAAACATTTCTTAAGGCTTTAGCTCTCATATCATACAACATTAATGATATCAAGAGAGCATGATTCTCTATTTGGTTGCCTAATTACGAACCTTAAATTGTTTAGGGGCCTCGGTCTTTGAGAACACCTTGACTGCAACTTCTTTGCTGTCATCTTTTAAACAACCATCATCTGTGCCTTTTGAACTTTTCTCATGTTGATTGTGGCCTTGGTTTATTATAATTTATAATTTAGTTCAATTATATTTCTATTAGTTTTTTCAATTTTATGTGTTGGTGCATGGGGAGCTAAATGGAGCTGAAGTATAGTGACTAGTCATCTAACAAATGGTGCATATATGTTGGCGACTCTTATTCAAGTTTCGACTTTGTGAAGATTTGGAAATTCGGCTTATATATATGTTGTCAATTTGTATTTTGGATGATTAAATTAATTATATAACTTTTATTTTTTATTAGTAGGGTGTGTCATACCTAAAACAAGCAAGTAATATTTTGTAATGTACGTATTTCGCATTATAATTATTATATATAAATGATACTTTGTTTCTGTTAGTATATTTAGATTTGTACTGACTAATTATACATATATTATATTACCATTTCATCCCAACTAAAAAAAAAAAAACAATGATCAATCTGTTGCAGTAGATACGTACTCCTATCATTGTATTAATTAGCTTCATCTGTTGCAATAGGTTCAATTTCATCATAATTATTAGTCAGTACTCTATTGCCACGGATAAGTTATGCCGTTGCAACAAGTATTGGTCTATTGCCACGGATCATTGGTGTCGTGGCATTAGGTGTCATATGACGTTGCATTAGACCTACTACAACGCCATCAGATGCCACGGTACATGGCTGTTGCATTAGGCCTAATGCCACGGATTTTGACGCCTAATGCAACGGATTTGGGGGGTTGTAATAGATCAAAAATGTAGTAGTGACCTTACCTCTCCTCTCCTCATGCCACTTGTTGATTTGTGATTGCATTGTTATATAATTTATTTTGGAATTAAATATATTAGTAGAAAATGAAACTATCCCACATTGATCATGAATGGGAAGAGCAAATTGCATTTTCCTATAAATATCCCATGATTGGGCATTTGGAAAAACAACTTGAGTGGAACTCAAAAAGGCATCTCTTATTATTGAGAAAACCTTTAAGTTCGTAAAACTCTAGTTTTATACTTGGTCAAGCCTCGACTAATCCTCGAGGCGAAGATCGTTCGGGTCGGGTCGTGGGTACGAGCCGTTGGAGGCCGTCACGCTTTTGAGGCTTTAGGCTTCGAAGTAAGAGCTCGGTTTACGAGTGAAACACGCTTTAAGGGTATTACTTCTTTATCCCTTTTCTTAATTATTGTTTAATTATGTTTATGCATGCTTTATTGCTTTAATTATTGCGGCGGGTCTTGGGCGGGTTTCTCTTCCGCGTAGCGTTGGACGCTACGAAACCCAACAATAATTGTCAGGTCAGAAGCTTAAATAATTGAATTCCGATTTTTCGCGTCTGTTACACGTTGCTCTTGGCCCCAAATGTGTTTTGGGCCTAACTCCTAGCTCGGATAACATTTTTGAGTCATTCTTTTGCCTAAATGCATTTTTTTGCCATTTTTAAAGGGTTCGTGAGTTCAGAAGCTGAAAAAATTGAAGTCCAATTTTTCGCATCGGTTATACGTTGCTCTAGGCCTAAATCGTGTTTCGGGCCTAACTTCTTACTCGGATAACATTTTTGAGTAATTATTCGCCTAAATGTGTTTTTTTTTACCATTTTTAAAGGGTACTTATGGTCAGAAGCTTAAAAAATTGAAGTCCGATTTTTCGCGTCGGTTACATGTTGCTCTAGGCCCAAACTCCAGGCTCTGATAACATTTTTGAGTTATTCTTTTGTCTAAATTTGTTTTCTTTTTACCATTTTAAAATAGATCGTCAGGTCAGAAGCTTTAAAAATTGAATTCTGATTTTTCGCGTCGGTTTCACGTTGCTTTAGGTCCCAACATGTTTTGGGCCTAACTCCTAGCTCGGATAACATTTTTGAGCCATTCTTTCGCCTAAATGCGTTTTTTTTGCCATTTCTAAACGGTTTGTCTAGTCAAAAGCTTAAAAAATTGAAGTCCAATTTTTCGCGTCGGTTACACGTTGCTTTGGGCCCAAAACGTGTTTTGAGCATAACTCCTAGCTCAGATAACATTTTTGAGTCATTCTTTTGCCAAAATGCGTTTTTTTACGAATTCTAAAGGGTTGGTGAATTTAGAAGATGAAAAAATTGAAGTTCGATTTTCGCGTCGGTTATATATAGCTCTTTTCCTAAAACATGTTTTGGGCCTAATTCCAAGCCCGGTTAACATTTTTGAGTCATTCTTTCGCCCAAATGTTTATTTTAACCATTTCTATAGGGTTTGTGAGTTCAGAAACTAAAATAATTGATGTCTGATTTTTTCGCGTCAGATACAAGTTGCTTTTGGCCCAAAACGAGTTTTAGGCCTAACTTCTTACTCGGATACCATTTTAGAGTCATTATTTTGCCCAAATACGTTTTTTTATTTTTTTTACCTTTTCTAAAGGATTCATGAAATCAGAAGCTGAAAAAATTGAAATCTGATTTTTTCGCGTCGCTTATACGTTGCTCTAGCCCTAAAACGTGTTTTGGGCCTAACTACTAGCTATGATAACATTTCTGAGTCATTCTTTCGCCTAAATGCGTTTTTTTTTTACCATTTTTATTGGTTTCGCCAAGTTAAAAGATTAAAAAATTGAAGTCCGAGTTTTCGCGTCGAATAACATTTTTTAGTCTTACTTTTGCCATGCGTTTTATTTTATGATTTCTAAATTGTCAGTGAGTTCAAAACCTACAAAAATTAATTTCGATTTTTCTTGTCGGTTCCATGTTGCTCTTGGTCCAAAACGTGTTTTGGGCTTGAGTCCTAGCTCGGATAGCATTTTTCAATCATTCTTTCAGCTAAATGCGTTTTTTTTTACCAATTTTAAAGGGTTCGTAAGGTCTAACTCCTAGCTCGAATAATAATTTTGAGTCATTTTTTCGCTGAAATGCGTTTTTTTTTACCATTTCTAAAAGGTTCATCAGGTCAGAAACTTAAAAAATTGAAGTTCGATTTTTCACGTCGGTTCCTATTTCCTAGCTCTGGGCTTAAAATGTGTTTTGGTCCTATTTCCTAGCTCCGATAACATTTTTTAGTCATTCTTTCGCAAAAATGTTTTTTTTTTAACATTTCCAAAGGGTTCGTAAGTTCAGAAGTTGAAAAAATTGAAGTCTAATTTTTCGCGTCGGTTACACGTCGCTCTTGGCCTAAAACGTGTTTTGGGCCTAACTCCTAGCTCGGGTATTATTTTTGAGTCATTCTTTCACCTAAAAGCGTTTTTTTTACAATTTCTTATGGTTTCTTCAGGTCAGAAGCTTAAAAAATTGAAGTCCGATTTTTCGCGTCGATACACGTTGTTGTGGGCCCAAAACGTGTTTTGGGCTTAACTCCTAGCTCGAATAATTTTTGAGTCATTCCTTCGTCTAAATTCGTTTTTTTACCATTTATAATGGGTTTGTCAAGTCGGAAGCTTAAAAATGTGTTTACCATTTCACGTCGATTACACGTTGCTCAAGACCCAAAACGTGTTTTGGGCCTAACTCCTAGCTCGGATAGCATATTTGAATCATTCAGTCTCCTGAATGCGATTTTTTTTTTTACCATTTTAAAAGGGTTCATCAGGTCAGAAGCTTAAATAATTGAAGTCCGATTTTTCGCGTCAGTTACACGTTGTTCTTGACCTTAAACGTCTTTTGGACCTAACTCCTAGCTCGGATAACATTTTTTAGTCATTCTTTGGTTTAAATGCGTTGTTTTACCATCTCTAAAGGGTTCGTGAGTTCAGAAGCTGAGAAAATTGAAATTCGATTTTTCGCGTCGGATACATGTTGCTCTAGGCCCAAAACGTGGTTTGGGCCTAACTCCTAGCTCTAACAACATTTTCGAGTCATTCTTTCGCCAAAATCCTTTTTTTTTACCATTTCTAAAGGGTTCGTGAGTTCATAAGCTAAAAAAATTGAAGTTCGATTTTTCGCGACGGTTCCACTTTGCTATTGTCTCGAATTGGGTTTTGGGCCTAACTCCTAGCTCGAATAACATTTTTGAGTCATTCTTTTGCCTTGATTTTTACCAATTTTAAAGTGTTCTTTAGATAAGAAGCTAAGAAAATTGAAGTAAGATTATTCGCGTCGGTTTCACGCTGCTATGGTCCCCAAACGTGTTTTTCGGCCGAACCCCTTACTCGGATAACATTTTTGAGCCATTCTTTCGCCAAAATGCGTTATTTTACCCTTTCTAAAGGGTTCGTAAGTTCAGAAGGTGAAACAATTGAAGTCCGATTTTTCACGTTGGTTACACGCAGCTCTAGTCCCAAAACGTGTTTTGGGCCTAACTCCTAGCTCGGTTAAAATTTTCAATCATTCTTTTGCCAAAATGCGTTTCTTTTTTACCATTTTTAAAGGGTTTGTCAGGCCATAAGCTTAAAAAATCGAAGTCTGATTTTTCGCGTCGATTACACGTTGCTCTGGGCCCAAAATGTGTTTAAGGCCTAACTCCTAGCTCGGATAAGATTTTTGAGTCATTCTTTCGCCGAAATGTGTTTTTTTTTTCTTCCATTTTTAAACGATTCGTGAGTTCAGATGCTGATAAAGTGGAAGTTCGATTTTTCGCGCCGGTTACACGTTGCTCTTGGCCTTAAAAGTGTTGTGGGCCTAACTCCTAGCTCGGGTAACATATTTGAGTCATTCTTTCGCTTAAATGCGGTTTTTTTTACCGTTTTTAAGGGGTTCGTCATGTCAGAAACATAAAATAAGAAGTCCGATTTTTCGAGTCAGTTACACGTTGCTCTAGGCCCAAAACTTGTTTTGGTCCTAACTCCTAGCTCGGATAACATTTTTGAGTGATTCATTCGCCTAAATGTGTTTTTTTACCACTTCTAAAGGATTTGTGTGTTCAGAAGCTTTAATAAATTGAAGTCCGATTTTTCAATCTGTTACACGTTGCTCTGGGCCCAAAACGTGTTTTGGGTCTATCTCCTAGCTCGGATAACATTTTTGAGTCATGCTTTTTCCTAAATGCGTTTTTTACCATTTCTAAAGGGTTCGTGAGTTCAAAAGCTGAAAAAATTGAAGTCTGATTTTTCGCCTCGGTTCCATGTTGCTTTGGGCCCAAAACGTGTTTTGGGCCTAACTGATCTATATCTCAAACTAAGAACTAAGTGCTCTAATGTTTAAGATAGATAGTTGAATTTGACAAGATTGGAACACTTAACAACCTAACCCAAATTCGATCTTAGAATCTGAATTGGAACACTCGATAACTTAGTTCTATGGGTATTTCACTCTTCTTGAGAACACTCAATCAAGTAGGTTAAACTAGGGTTTGACCAATGAAAGAATTTAACTCTCAATCACTCGAAGAATCTGCTGGTTTGCAAGAGTTAAACTCTCGGAATTTTTGTGAATATGCTGAACTTGTATATGTCTTTTTATTTAGTTGACCGCATATATATAGGTACATGCAAAACCTAATAAAAAAAACCTAGTTAGTTTAGGAAACTAGCTTGGTGTGCAAGCAAAAACAATAAGTATCCTTATTATTACAACCGACTTAAATAACAATATAATT